TTCCCTAAACCATTTTGTCAATTGTCTTCCCTAAGCCACCTTTGTGGCGTAAATCAAGGAGTCAATCTCCTTATATATTGTTGTACAATTGTAATGATATCATGATGAAAATACAAAAAAATCAACAGTAGGAGAATACAATGATCCCACCTGGTGGCAACGAGAGCTGATTTATGATTTTGTACGGCAATTTAGACATTGAACTAAGATACTGTTAGTATGGTTGCCATTAACATTCATCTCTAATGTAGTTGTAGCTTTCATTTTCCATTACTCAGTTTATTAAATCCCTTGGATTTGGTTGAGTGATTTGGTTGAGTTAGAGCTCATGGGCGTGAGTGATTTTATATCACTGTCAAAACTCCTCTAAGAATCACACTCCTTATGTTCTACACATGTTTTTGTTAATTTTGGTTCGTTGATCTCAATTCATTCGATTTGATGCTGAAAATTTAGAATGTGTGAGAAGTAAAAATAGATGTGTGGATAACAGCGTTTTGATACATATTGAAAGCAGGAAAGTCCGGCAAATAGTAATGAGACTGGACTTTGAGAGGGTCTCTAGGTCCACTGCCAAAACTTCTCCAAGAATCGGGCGCTTGGTCAAAAAGGTAGGGAAGAATTGGTCAATTTTTGCTTTTGTTTTGTTATATGAACCGATCAAATTAGTTCGCTGTTAAATGAGGGATTCTGCAAGGTCACCTTGTATAGACTTTGTGTCTACATCTCTTATCTGTAATACTGTAATTGGTCAAGTTTTTGTTTAGATGTGCTTGTTCGAGGAGATACGTAGACAAACAGGTGTATTCACTGGTGACGCGCGCCTTCCTCCAACTGTTACAGTTGTTTGTAGTAGAGATTTTCGATATCTGTGATAGGTAAGCTGCAGAGCTTGCAAACTTTGACTCTCGCTAGATGCGTGAATCTTGAAGAGTTGCCTATAAACATGAGCAAGTTGATCAGCCTTAAATGTTCCAAGTAGACATTCCATTGCATAAATGTTCTACCTCATAGAAGAAGTATGACATAGCCTAGCTATATATATATATATATATATATATATATATATATATATATATATATATATATTACTCCTTAAAATGTTTTAACTGAATAAAGTCTCTTTCTTTCCATCTCATCGCCACATCATTTAGTAGTTTATCTTGAATTATATTAGTTTTATTTAAGACCATTAGATGTAAAAAGATTCAAGAGTTAATATAGAGTGTAAAAATGTTTGTCAAAATATTTGTCCCTAATCCTATTTCATATATTATAATATATATATATATATATATATATATGGAATAGGATCAAGGGACAAACATTTTGACAAAGATCTTTACTCTTTGGTAACCTTTGGATCTTATAATATCCAAAGGTTTGATTAAGAGTTATGTGGAGGATTTTAGACATTAAATGACTTGAATGATGATTTGGATTATAACTTATAAGAAAAACACTAATTAAAAAGAAAAATCCATTGAAATCTAATTGAATTAAAAGAAAAACAAAACCCTGAAAATAATTTAACCTCCATCTTCCCCTTTGTTTGCCAATGAGGTTTGCAACTCCATGCCTTGGATGTAATCTCTTCTTCTTCTTCTTTTTTTTTTTTTTTTTTTTTTTTGTATCAACCCTTCTTGCCTTTATCAAACAATGAACATTAATGAATAATAAAACATGATATTAGGCAAAGAGAGAGTTTTGCTTAAGAAAAATAAATTAGGGTTTTGTTTTGAGAAGGTTTAAGCGCCCTAATTCTAGGCTAGTGACTCAATCGCTTTGTCACCTCTATAGCAAAAAAACCCTATCAACCCAAGATCCAAGAATGAAGATTCAGGATTTAGGCGTTCTTCACCGTCGGTTTTGCGTTTTTTTTTTAATAAGAGTTTAACCTTCTTTTTTTTTTTTAAAAAAAATTGTCAATTCTATTCTATTCTTTTATATCTTTCTTGTTAATGGACCCTATTAATTATAATCCAAATCACCATTCAAGTTATTTAATGTTTAAAAAATTCTCCACATAACTCTTAATCAAGACCGTTGGATGTTATAAGATCCAAAGGTTACAACAGAGTGTAAAAATGTTTGTCAAACTCTTTATCCCTTGATCCTAACCCTTATTTTATATATATATATAGGGATAGGATCTAGAGACACACGTTTTTAACACACATTTTTGTGAGTTCACTTCATAATGTATTTTAACAATCCAACCGTTTATCTTTTATGTTTGATCTCAAACATCATGTCTACCAAAAATCATCATCAAAAAGTTAGGTGAACTCATAATGTGCTTGGCCATTAGACTACTTATCATAAGGAAGCATCATCATCAGTATTCATACTATCTCAATTCCCCTGCACTCACCTCATCAAGAAAGAAAGAACTAACGAAACTAAGAAAGAAAGAAGATGGCTAACCAGGCATTTCCGTTAGCAAGCAGACTCATTGAAAAGCTCGCCTCCATTGCTTCTGAGGAGATTTGCTTGGCGTGGGGTGTTAAAGTGGATCTGCAGAACCTTGGACGCACTATGTCCACAATCAGAGACGTGCTCTTGGATGCCGAAGAGAAGCAAGCACGTAAGAATGACCTACGCAGTTGGCTACGACAACTTAAAGATGTGTTCCTTGATGCGGAGGATCTGTTGGACGAGTTTGAATGTGAAGCTTTGCGAAGGCAAGTGGTTCGTGGCAGTGGCACAACTAGAAAGGTACACCGTTTCTTTTCCCGCTCTAATCCAGTTGCATTCCGCTTACGAGTAGGCCATGGAATTAAGGACATAAGAGAGAGGTTACAAAAGCTTAAAGATGATAAGAATTTTGCTGATCTTCGCACTGTTCATCATCACCCTCATCTAGGTGATCATGTGAGGGAGAACATGAATACGACCCACTCCTTTGTTCGTGCTTCGGAGGTTATTGGTAGAGAAACAGAAAAAAATAAAATTGTTGATCTTCTAATAATACAAGGCGATGATCATATAGGTGGGGATAATGGGAATGTTTCTGTTATTCCTATAGTGGGATTAGGAGGTTTAGGGAAGACCACCCTTGCCCAGTCAGTGTACAATGATCAGAGAGTTGTTGGGAGTTTTGACTTAAGAATGTGGCAGCATGTGTCAGTGGACTTTGATGTTACTAGATTGAAAAGAGATCCTTGGCTCTGCATTAGGTACAAAGATCAGTGAAGGGTTGTCTCTGGATCAGTTGCAAGAACAACTACGAGACGCTTTAAAGGAAAAGAAATTTCTGCTTGTCTTGGATGATGTGTGGAATGAAGATCGTATCAAATGGAGCGAGTTGAGAGATTTGTTGATAGAGGGAGCCAAGGTGGGAACTAAGATTTTGGTGACGACACGGAGTATCTCAGTTGCTTCAATCATGGGGGCGGTTGGAAACATAAATTTAGACGTTCTCTCTTTTGAGGATTGTTTGTCTCTGTTTGTAAAGTGTGCATTTAAAGAAGGACAGGAAAGACAGCATCCAAGCCTGTATGAAATGGGAAAAGATATTGTAAGAAAGTGCGGAGGGGTTCCCTTAGCTGTGAAAACCTTAGGGAGTCAACTTTACTCAAAGACTGATGAGCGTCAATGGAAATTGATTAGAGATTCTGAGATATGGGAATTAGAACGAGATGGAGCTGGTCACATTCTACCTGCTTTGAGACTGAGTTATAATCAATTGCCATCTCATTTGAAGCAATGCCTTGTTTGCTGTTCAATTCTTCCAAAGAATTACATTAAATTTTATAGCAGCGAATTGATCAATCATTGGATGGCACATGGACTCCTTGAATCTCGTGATCATGGGAATATGGAGTGGGAAGATGTTGGTGAGCTATATTTCAAAGAGTTATGGGACAGATCTTTCTTTCAAAATGTTAAAGATTACACTTTCGGCTATGGATTTGATATGCATGATCTCATCAAGGACCTTGTACAATCAGTCGCACAAGGTGAGAGTTTGATAGTAGACTCTGCAGGGACCAAAGGCATCTCTGAAAATGTTAGACACCTAACAATTTTGAAAAGTGGCCAAAATGTATCAACAACCTTGCAAAAGTTGAATAAAGTGCGGACCATAGCACTAGAGAGTTGTGAAAATATTGATGAATCCTTCCTCAGCACTTGCATTTCAAGATTCAAATATCTGCGACTGCTTAAGTTAACCAATGCATCTTGGGAATTGTTGCCCAGTTCCATTGTTTCTTTGAAGCATTTGAGAAGCCTAGACTTGACCGCAAATGAAAGAATCACCGCACTACCCAATTCAATTTGTAAGCTGCAGAGCTTGCAAACTCTGAATCTCTGTGGATGCGTGAATCTTGAAGAGTTCCCTAGAGACATGAGAAACTTGATCAGCCTCAGATGGCTTGAATTAACCACAAAACAATCAAGTTTTCCAGAGAATGGAGTGGGATGCTTGACATCACTTCGATTTCTTTCTATTTGGGAGTGCAGTAATCTAATGTGTTTGCCGCGTGATACGAGCTATCTTGCGTCATTACGCACTGTGATCATAGGCAATTGCAAACAACTTGATTTGGTGATGGAAAACTATCAGGTAATTCCACTAAGGCTCCAAAAATTGGGGATTCGGAAAGTACCACGAATGGTGGCATTGCCTGAATGGTTTCAAGGAGCCACAAACACACTACAAGTCTTGGTTATAGAAGATTGTGAGAACTTGGAGGCATTACCTGGGTGGCTGAGGAGTTTCACATCGCTTAGAAGGCTTATCCTCAACTCATGTCCCAAACTTTTGTCTTTGCCAGAGGAGATGCATCGCCTCACTGCCTTAACAGATGTTTGGATTGTAGATTGCCCTGATTTGGAGAGGAGATGCCAGCGCGACACAGGAGAAGATTGGCCAAAGATTTCCCATGTTCCAAATGTTTATTTTGAATAGAATCATGGGCGATGTCTTTAATGCCGGCAGCCTCTCAATGTCTCTGTGTTTGTTTTTATATTGTCCAACTTTTTCTCGTTGTGTGTCTACTTATTGTAATATTACTCAATTTAAATCAAAATCCTTCCTTATCAGTCACATTGTGTGTCTCTACTTATTTGTTCTCAGAAACTCAAGTTTTTTAGAAGCGGTATTCTCCAATCTAGTAACTCCGACGGTTGGTGTTTTCACCGTCATCAAACTAGGTAAAACTATCAGAGGAATTCAGCGTTTAATTAGGCACATACAAAGCCGTTCCATTGTCACAACTAGCAGTTAAAGCTTGGCCATGGCGGAGGGGGCTTCCCTGTTAGATTCTGGCTAACCATACGGCACGAGCTGAAGACCTGAAGACCTGCACAGAGTGAAAAGTTTGTTACTTGTCATTCAAGTTAAAGATGCAATTCTCTCTACAATCTTTCAGGCGAAACCCAATTCTCAGAAGCACCAAAGAGAAAGGAAAATGCAGCTGGAAATGGAATGAACTAATCCCAAATGCGATGCAGCAACTCAGTCGGAAGCCGGAAAAAGATAGGCTTTATATATACTAGGTCCAGCTGACAACAGAATTACCGGACAATAAGGAATCTGGGAAAAAAACTACTCCAGCTGATTTTCTGTCATGACCACACCAAGCTTTTGAGTAAAAACTGCATTGGTCAAATCAACTCCTGTTCCTGTCACCGCATCTTTAGCACGGATCTGAAAGTAACCATCCAGGTTGTGTACAGTCCCATCTGCACAAGTTTACAAAACCCACGAAAAAATAAATTTACTTCTGTGGTGCATTACTCACCACCTCACTTGGCAAATAGCTTTTAGAATTCCAATGCCAGAACAAATTAATTTAGAAGTTATAACAATCGACCAAAAGAAGCATGATATGCACCTTTCAGCTACATTCTAGAAATCGAACAAATTTCTTAAATCACAAATGAGGCTCAGTTTTCAATCTTATCTGACATTACAAAAAGAGCGATTGGCATCACCCTCTTGATCGCATAAAACAATCGGCCTAACGAAGCGTGAGCTTGGCATGAACCTGAACACGGGCACGTTATGCACCATCCAGCTACTTAGAAGGAAATCACATATGAGACTCAGTTTTAATCTTATCTGACATTACTACATGAACAAATTATATTGGAGTTACCCTCCTGATGGCAAGAAAAAGAAATAAAGAGAGCTCCACACATTTATTACTTTTTCATGAAGTGACAATCCTAAAAACAAGAATCAGACACATTTTCGAGCGTAAACCTGTCTTTGATCTATCTCCTCCATCTGCTTTCCCTTCGTGTAAAAGTCGAATTAGGGCAACAATTAACAGAATGGTTTCAAGGAGCACAAACACACTACAAGTCTTGTCTATTATAGATTATGAGAAGAGGCATTACCTGGTGGTTGACGAGTTTCACATCGCTTAAAATGCTTGGCCTCAGATCATGTCCCAAACTGTTGTCTTTGCCAGAGGAGATGGCACCGCCTCACTGCCTTAACAAAACTTAGAATTAGAAAGTGTCCTGATCTGGAGAGGAGATGCCAGCGCGACACAGGAGAAGATTGGCCAAAGATTTCTCATGTTCCAAATGTTTATTTTGAATAGAACAGGGTGAGGGTCTGCTAATGATATGGTCAAATTTGCCAAATCCCCATATCAAAGAAACATTTTCATTCCAAAGTGGTAAAGTTGCTCAAGAAACGTTGTCTTAAGCGACCGATAAACTGGGCAATATAGTCACGGAAGCTCTCAATCATAAGGGACAAATGAAAGCAAATCTAAAAGCACAACAATCAGGGATAACATTGGAGTAAATACAAATCAAACTGTATTTACGTATCCAATACATAGTAATAGTTCTTGCTTTGAGTCAAATATTGGGTCAGGGAGTTGATGATTAACATCTCCAGCAAGAATACGAAAAACTTCACAACTACTACAACTTCGGCAAATCCAACCAACTCCACCACCAGGGACAATCAAAGGATGTCAGTTTTTGGCCTCCCTTTTTCTCCTTTTCATCCAAAGGGAAGCAAAGCGAGAAATTCAATCAACTAAAACATGGGGAAAGCAACAATTTGACAAAAGAAATTCAAGCAAGTTACAACAGTACTTTCATTAACAATAAACAAGAAAAGTAAACCCCTCTCATAAGTCATAACCAAAATACAAAACTGCCAGATCTTTAGGCCATGTAATAATGAAAATGAAATGAGAATTCATACCTGAGAAAACTGGATTTGGCTACTTGGAAGAGAGCAGGGACTTCATTAGTGTTGTGATTATTCTTATATGCAGAGAAAAAAAGAGGGCACAAATGTAAAATACATTTCAACGTTAAACACAAAATTCAAAAGTTAAATGGTAAAATGGCATTTCATTATAGTCAAGTCCGAGGGGGGAAATATCTTGTTAGGACTATCTCAAAGAAGAGAACACAAGGCTAAATTGTCACTGTGTTGTTAGTCCTACTATGCACAGCGTAAAACTCTTGAGGATATTTCAAAAATAAAATAAAATATCTTCCATATAGCCGGATTCTATGGCTCCTCTTCGTCATCCCGTGGCCCTTGACAAGAAAAAGGGGGTGGTGGTGGATCAACGCTCAAGGTGCTATCCAATACCTTAACCACCTCTCTCATTGGAGGTCTTCTACGTTCATCAATTTGGACACACCAAAATGCAATTCTTAAAGCACGTTCAAGCTCTTGTGGAATAAACCCACCAATTATTTTTCTGTCTACCACATTCTCTGGATGCCCTTGCAGCCACTCTTTGTATGCCCACTCACAAAGGGGCTTCCCTGTTAGATTTCAGCTAACCATACGACACAACCTGACCACAAGCTTTAATTAAGCAGATCGAAAGCTTCACTAAACAATAATCAATCGAAAGCTTCACTAAACAATAATCAACTTCTTGATTTTCAAGCCCCGAAGACTTGCACAGAGTGAAAAGTTTGTTGCTTGTCATTCAAGTTAAAGTTGCAATGCTTTATACAATCTTGAAGGCGAAACCCAATTCTCAGAAGCACCAAAGAAAAAGGAAAATGCAGCTGGAAACGGAATGAACTAATCCCAAATGCGATGCAGCAACTCAGCCGGAAGACGGAAAAAAGATAGGCTTTATAAATACTAGGTCCAGCTGACAAGAGAATTACCATACATTAAGGAATCTGGGAAAAAAAATGCATTGGTCACATCAACTCCTGTTCCTGTCACCACATATTTTGGCATGGATCTGAAAGTAACCATCAAGGTTGTGTACAGTCCCATGTGCACAAGTTTACAAAACCCAGGAAAAAATAAATCCACCCCTCACAGAACTATCACAAGGCTGCTAGTCACCCCTTAACTATTTTTCTTGCCCATTTATCACTTTAACTAGTACAAGACAACCAAATAACTCCTTACCTTTATATTTAAAAAACTTCATCAAACTTTCTGTTAAGTGGTGTCATGTGAGAGGGGCGAGACACATTTTCGAGCACAAACCTGTCTTTGATCTATCTCCTCCATCTGCTTTCCCTTCGTGTAAAAATTAAATTAGGGCAAACAACAGAATGGTTTCAAGGAGCCACAACACACACTACAAGTCAAGTCTATATTAGATTGGGAGAATTTGGAGGCATTACCTGGGTGGTTGACGAGTTTCACATCGCTTAAAATGCTTGGCCTCAGATCATGTCCCAAACTGTTGTCTTTGCCAGAGGAGATGAATCGCCTCACTGCCTTAACAAAACTTAGAATCATAAAGTGTCCTGATCTGGAGAGGAGATGCCAGCACGATACAGGAGAAGATTGGCCAAAGATTTCTCATGTTCCAAATGTTTATTTTGAATGGAACAGGGTGAGGGTCTGATAATGAAATGGACAAATTTGCCAAATTCCCCATATCAAAGAAACATTTCCATTCCAAAGTGGTAAAGTTGCTCAAGAAACGTTGTCTTAAGCGACCGATAAACTGGGGCATATAGCCAAGGAAGCTCTCAATCAAAAGGGAAAAATCAAAGCAAATGTCAAAGCACAACAACCAGGGATAACATTGGAGTAAATACAAGGTCACACTGTATTCACGTATCCAACACATAGTAATAGTTCTTGCTTTTAGCCAAATATTGGGTCAGGGAGTTGATGACTACCATCTCAAGCAAGTATACGAAACACTTCACACCTTCTACAACTTCAGCAAATCCTACCAACTCCACCACCGGAGACAATCAAAGGATGTCAGTTTTTGGCCTCCCTTTTTCTCCTTTTTATCCAAAGGGAAGGAAAGCTACAAATCCAATCAACTAAAACATCGGGAAAGCAACAATTTGACAAAAGAAATCCAACAAAATCCACAACTTTTAGCCTTAGAAATTCAAGCAAGTTACAACAGTTTTTTCATTAACAATAACAAGAAAAGCAAACCCCTCTCATAACCAAAATACAAAACTGCCAGATCTTTAGGCCATGTAATGATGAAAATGAAATGAGAATACATACCTAAGAAAACTGGATTTGGCAACTTGGAAGAGAGCAGGGACTTCATTAGTGTCGTAATTATTCTTCTATGCCAAGAAAAAGAGAGGGCATAAATGTAAAATTCATTTCAACGTTAGACACAAAATTCAAAAGTTAAATGGAAAAATGGCATTTCATAAAGCCAAAGCTCCGATAGGGGGTAAATCTCTTGCTAGGACTATCTCAAAGACAAGAACACAAGGCTAAATTGTCATTGTGTTGTTAGTCCTACTATGCACAGCTTAAAACTCTTGAAGATATTTCTAAAATATAATAAAATATCTTCCATATAGCTGGATTCTATGGCTCCTCTTTGTCATCTCGTGGCCATTGACAAGAAAAAGGGGGTGGTGGTGGATCAACGCTCAAGGTGCCCTCCAACACCTTAACCACCTCTCTCATTGGAGGTCTTCTACGTTCATCAATTTGGACACACCAAAATGCAATTCTTAAAGCACGTTCCAGCTCTTGTGGAATAAACCCGCCAATTATTTTCCTGTCTATCACATTCTCTGGATGCCCTTGCAGCCACTCTTTGTATGCCCACTCACAAAGGTCCCCAACTCGACAGCCACTTACTAATACTAACACCATCTTACCAAAGTCCTCCACATCTCTCTCAGCAGATGAGCATGAAGAGCATGATACCTTGCTGACTATGTTCCCAAGTCCAAATTCAGTCACCTTGGCCTCTAAATTTTCATCAAGTACAACATTCTCACATTTCAAATTCCCATGGCTCATAAATTCCCTACAGCTTGTGTGTAGATAACAGACGGCCCTTCCGACACTTAAGCATATATCAAATCTCTTCCCCCAAGTCAGCTTCTTACACAATTTAAGATCTTCTATATACTTCTCCAGAGAACCATTCTTGACATATTCATAGACCAGAAATTTGTGATCTACCTCACAACAGTAGCCCTGCAGCTTTACAAGGCTTTTGTGATGAATGTTACCTATCTTTGTAACTACACCCCGGTATTTTCTGTCTTCTACACTTGCATCCACATCTTTGATAGCAACTGGTTTTCTATTTGGAAGAACGCCTTTGAACATCTTTGGCCCAATCTGATATTTGAAGTTCTCTGTAAGATCCTCTATTTCAGAGAAGGATAACACTATCAAGCCGTTTGAGTTTGGGCTGGTATGAGCAAAAGCAGCTTTCTTCCTAACCGAAATTCTTCTTCTGTAGAACCAGAAACCAAGTGCCAGTTGAACTAAAATAAATACAATGAACATTCCTGCCGCTGCTCCAATTAGGCAAGGGAAACAAAACTTATGAGACCGATTGAGTGGAGGAGGGGAAGACAACGAGAGATTGGGGTTTACAGCTAATGGATCAGCACACATCTTTGCGTAAGATACTGAACTCAGTGAGGGGTCTGAATAGCCAGTAACATACGGTGTTCTCTTAATTAAGCATCGTGCAGTTCCATCATTTGAAAATGTTGCAGCTGTACAAGCCAGGTCATTCTGACACAAGCTTTTGCATTCCTCTAGACTAACTTTGGCAACTACATCATCAGTTGGTGGGTACATTCCATGTAGGAAAGTATGCTTATAATGAAGCATGTTGGAACCAAAAGAACAGCGATTATTTGGAATAAAACATCTGGAAGTGGACTCATTTGTCTGCTGCTTAAATGGACATTCACAATCAGGGGACCCAGATTCATTGAAGACACAGATACCACGTTGGCCACAGGTTGCAAAGACATCACACTGGTTCTCAACAGCCTGCCAGACTGATCTCCATGACTTTGAATCTTCTACCCATGAGTATAATCGGAGATTACCATCAACATCTAGCCGAAGAAACCTGTAGCTTATGGAGTCATTGTGATCTTGACTGTACAGTGACCACACAGGTTTCAAGCTTTGGTCGCGGAGTTGTAGGGCTCCATCAGAAGTGATGAAAGCACTGAGGTTTGAACTAGAAAGGCTTCCACTTCTCCAGTAGGTGACATGGCTTTCCCATTGAAGTTGCAACTGACTAGAAGCACTCATAAAAAGAGTGTAGTAACTGGACACACAATTCTTGCTTGCAGCTCGAAGTGTTTGCAATGTAGAGAAGCTCTGTCCAGGAAGAAGTATGTCAGATGGAGTATCAAAACTTTGCCAAACAATATGTTTCTCTTGATTCAATAGAACAAGATTTCCATTGTCATTAAGAGCAGCAGAAACAACTGATAATTGCCTTGTTTTACTGGTCCATGCAGTGACACTCTTCAAGGAATCGAATAAAACTAGTTCGCCATCCTGGGTCAGCTGGGCATAAGAATTGTTACCAATAATAAGATCAGCTGCAGCACTCCATACCAAAAGTTGTTGGTCAAGAGGAAAAGACTTCGAAATGAGACGGATCCCGAAACTATAGTTTGGCTGGTCTGAACGGTTAAAAAATCCAAATGCAAAATCACCATTTGGAGAGATCCATATGGTTTTATCGGCTACAGAAATTTTGGAACCCAAGGGAATATCTGAAGTCGCAAGAGTATTTAACAGGAATGCAACAAAGATACACAGCAGGAGACGCGATTTACGGAGATGCTCGACCAGTTCAGGCATATCTGAATATGCTTATAGATCCTACAAAAACAAATAATCAGTACTATGACCTCCTTTAAGTGTAAATCATGTTTGCGTATCAAAGTTAATGAATTCAAGGCAACATTTTTCATGAACAACACTGAAAAGTAAAAATGGCAAGAATCAAAGCAACTCATAGCCCAAATAAAAAATAAATAAAAACAAACAAAAATTGAAAAAACACTGTTTTTAGGCCAACAGAAAATTGAAGTTCCAAAAAATTTACGATGAACTCAAGGAAATAACAGTCAACATAAATTTCATACAAGTCAAGAAGGAATATATGCAATATTCAGAACTTGGTACCTGAAAAGGCAGTTAAAACCCCAGAAATTTAACAAGCCGGTGGAATGCCCCCATGATCATCTCAGAAGCATCCCATTATATATATTTGGAGCAGCCTCTCCATAAATGGGGGTAAGGTTAGCCGACATTCACCTCTCCCAGACCCTGCGTAAAGCGGGAGCCTTGTGCACTGGGTACGACCTTTATTGTAAAATTGTCATGTGAGCATTCAGAATTTTGAATATCAAACAGAGATTTGACTGACCGAATGAGGCAGCCTACGACTGAAAATGCAGGAAGCAAGTGACAAAAAAAGGAGCTGTAAAGGGAGTAAAATTTTGGATATTTAAGGGATTATAAAGTGGGTGTTGAATAGACTCAAGTGGATGAATGGGACCCAAAACTAACCCAATTGGGTACAGTGTGGACTGTTTAGGCAAGGCAATCACTTACAGGAGCTTGAAAGTTCAACACTCTGGGACAACGATATTGCAGGTAGATCTGTAAACAGGTCGGGTTTATTGAATTTGAATCAGGTTCAATCTGACCCGTTAAGTTAACGGGTTATCCGAATTAGACTCATTAAGCTAAAGGGTCATTCGTTTCACCTATTAACAATTATTATTATTTTTTTTTTGCATAGAATTTATTTTTTGTTGTTAAGACTTTATTTAAATTACTAAAACATCATCAACTAACGGGTTGATCCAAAATGATCCGTTATTTAACAGATTCATCCGTTAACGACCCGACCCGTTAAAAATCCACCCGAATACTAATATTAACTGGTCGGATCGAATCGAGTCGGGTTAACGGATCGGATCCAAAATGTCAGGTCTATTTGCAGGCAAATCATTATTGAAGATTAATAGCTGATAAATATATAGAAAATCTACAAAGTCACAAAATAAACAAGAAACTGAAACACCCCATTATTGGAAAAAGCTTCTTTTTTTGGATTAAAACCATAGATTGGAAGCAGCTTGAGCAAACATGAAATGACTTTTTTTCTCATTTACACTATGAATTAGTGAGATTTGAATACAAGCGATGTTACTACTTTAATATTTACACCAGGGGAGGGGGGGAGAACCCAGGACGCAGTGGGTTGAAGACGAACGCCCTAGCCATTAGGGCAATCCAACACTTGCCGAATTAGTGAGATAAGAAAACGTAATAAAAATTGAAACTTTAAGCATTGACAGTGAGTACCACACTACTAACCAGTTTGTCAAATTTGCTTTCCTTCTTCTGCTTTTTCTTTAAAGCTTTTCAAGAGACGCTTTTTCTTCCTGAAAAAAAAGGGCAGATAAATAATGGGTCGTTCTTGAAAAGTTGAAGAGATGAAAATGTAGGGGCCTAAAAGCAGAGGATAAAAGAGAACTAGAAGTGGCGGTTCATATAACAACTCAACAAACACAACACTTCCAGTAGAACCTAATTACAAACCTTAATTCGAAACCCGCAAATCAAATTCCCAACTTAAACCACCACATTGGACCATAAAAAAATGTAAAAAATAAAAATAAAAATAAAGCACAAAATTGAGAGTCTGTAAAGAGAAGCGGCGGCACAAGAAAAAGTGAAGAGAATAAAAACTTACCGAAGAAATGTGAGGCGAATGGGCGAAGGCTAAAGAGAAACGGCGGCACGAGCGAGAAAAGTCGGGCGGGCTGCAGTTTTGAGATGGAGAGGGGTTGGGAAGAAGCTGCTTATTGAAAAAGTGATTCTACAGAAGCAACGTGAGAGAGAGTGGAAGAGAGAGTGGGGGTTCGAGGGGGTGTTAAACGTTAGTGCAGCCGGAGACTGTGAGAAATAGTCGCCGGAGGAGGAGTGACCATATCGGTAAACACTGACTGGACTCAAGGCGGTAGTGAGTGAGTGAAGAAAAGATTTTGCTGCTACGACTGTACCCTTCTTTTTATTATTTCTTTTCCTTTTTATTACAAGGCTAATATTTTTTTTCCTTTTGCACCCTTCTTTTTATTTATGTTTTTATTTATATTTTTCTTTGGTTAACTAGAAAAGAAATTAAATTTTTTATTTTAACAAACGATATTAATACACTAAGGGGATAGGAGTAGCTTTCGTTGCCTCACAATAAATTAACAATGATGTGTTTCAAAATCGTTTTTTGCGAGAACTTAACCTAAAACTCTCATTTATATGTGAAGATGAATACTATTAGACCGTAGTATTAAATAGCAAGAAATTAAATATTTATGTAAAATACTTTTCACATGCTCCACATTCTTTTTTTTTTCCAAAAATCGATTCGGCTATCTCAAATCCAAGCTTCCTCTTGGTTCCTCAGTCGATCCCAAGCTCAGCTTGAGGGGGTGTATTGAGACATATAAACCAGTCACTAGATTGTTATAACAGTAAATAGTTAGTTGTGGTAATTGTGTAATTAGTTGTAGAAGATAAGGGCACTGATGTAATGAGGCTGTGGCTATATATATACCTGTGCACTGTCATAATTATTCAACCAATGAAAATATCTTTTCAACAGAAAGAACTGCAGTTTCTATCAAGGAAGAAAGAAACGAAGAAAGAAGATGACCGAGCTTGCTTTTCCGTTGGCAGCCAAACTCATTGAAAGGCTCAGCTCCATTGCTTCTGAGGAGATTTGCTTGGCGTGGGGTGTTAAAGCAGATCTGCAAAACCTTCGACGCACCATGTCCACAATCAAAGACGTGCTCTTGGATGCCGAAGAGAAGCAAGCACGTAACGATGATCTAAGCAGTTGGCTACGAGAACTTAAGGATGTGTTCCTTGATGCGGAGGATCTGTTGGACGAGTTTGAGTGCGAAGCTTTGCGAAGGCAAGTGGTTCATGGCAGTGGCATAACTAGAAAGGTACGCCGTTTCTTTTCCCGCTCTAATCCAGTTGCATTCGACTTGCGAGTAGGTCATGGAATTAAGGAAATACGAGCGAGGTTACAAGAGCTTAAAGAAGATAAGAATTTTGCTGATCTTCGACCATTTCATCATCACCCACATCTCGGTGATCATCTGAGGGAGAATAGGAATACGACCCACTCATTTGTCCGTGCTTCGGAGGTTATTGGTAGAGACACGGAGAAAAATACAGTTGTAGATCTTCTAATGCAACAAGGCGATGATCATCAAGGTGGGGATAATGGGAATGTATCTGTTATTCCTATAGTGGGATTTGGAGGTTTAGGGAAGACCACCCTTGCCCAGTCGGTGTACAATGATCAGAGAGTCGTTGGAAGTTTTGACTTAAGAATGTGGCAGCATGTGTCAGTGGACTTTGATGTTACTAGCTTGACAAAAGAGATCCTTGGCTCTGCATTAGGTACACAGATCAGTGAAGGGCTGTCTCTGGATCAGTTGCAAGCACAACTACGAGATGCTTTAAAGGATAAAAAATTTCTGCTTGTCCTGGATGATCTGTGGAACGTAGATCGTATCAAATGGAGCGAGTTGAGAGATTTGTTGGTAGAGGGGGCTAAGATAGGATCTAAGATTTTGGTGACAACACGGAATATCTCAATTGCTTCAATCATGGGCACAGTTGGAACATACATAAATTTAGAAGTTCTCACTTTTGAGGATTGTATGAAGTTGTTTGTGAAGTGTGCATTTGAAGAAGGACAAGAAAGACAACATCCAAGCCTCTATGAAATGGGAGAAGATATTGTAGGAAAGTGCGGAGGGGTTCCCTTAGCCGTGAAAACCTTAGGGAGTCAACTTTACTCAAAGACTGATGAGCGTCAATGGAAGTTGATTAGAGATTCGGAGATTTGGGAATTAGAACGAGGGGGAGATGGTCACATTCTACCTGCTTTGAGACTGAGTTATACTCAATTGCCCCCTCATTTGAAGCATTGCCTTGTTTGCTGTTCAACTCTTCCAAAGAATTACACTAAATTTGATAGCAGGGAATTAATCAATAATTGGATGGCACATGGAATCCTTGAATCTCGTGAACATGGGGATATGGAGTTGGAAGATGTTGGCGAGCTATATTTCAAAGAGTTATGGGACAGATCTTTCTTTCAAAATGTTAAGGATTACGCTTTCTTCTATGAATTTGATATGCATGATCTCATCCATGACCTTGTACAATCAGTCGGACAAGGTGAGAGTTTGATAGTAGACTCTGCAGGGACCAAAGGCATCTCTGAAAATGTTAGACATCTAGCAATTTTGAAAAGTGGCCAAAATGTTTCAACAACCTTGCAAAAGTTGAACAAAGTGCGGACCATAGGAGTAGTGGATTGTAAAGATATTGATGAATCCTTCCTCCGCACTTGCATTTCAAGATTCAAATATCTGCGGTGCCTTGGATTAGTCAATGCATCTTGGGAATTGTTGCCGAGTTCCATTGGTTCTTTGAAGCATTTGAGAAGCCTGAACTTGGCCGGAAATGTAAGAATCACCGCACTACCCAATTCAATTTGTAAGCTGCAGAGCCTGCAAGCTCTGACTCTCGGTAGATGCGTGAAACTTGAAGAGTTGCCTGGAGACATGAGCAAGTTGATCAGCCTTAGATGCCTCGAATTTACCACAAAACAATCAAGCTTTCCAGAGAATGGAGTGGGATGCTTGACATCACTTCGATATCTTTGTATTCAGGATTGTAGTTATCTAACGTGTTTGCCGCATGATACGAGTTATCTTGTGTCATTACGCACTCTGATCATAGCCAATTGTAAACAACTTGGTTTGGTGATGGAAAACTATCAAGGAATTCCACTAAGGCTCCAAAAATTGTGGATTGTAGGAGCACCACGAATGGTGGCATTGCCTGAATGGTTTCAAGGAGCCACAAACACACTACAAGACTTGGGTATAGAAGATTGTGAGAATTTGGAGGCATTACCTGGGTGGTTGACGAGTTTCAAATCGCTTAGAAGGGTTGGGCTCAGATCATGTCCCAAACTGTTGTCTTTGCCAGAGGAGACGCACCGCCTCCCTGCCTTAACAGAACTTAGAATCACAAAGTGTCCTGATCTGGAGAGGAGATGCCAGCGCAACACAGGAGAAGATTGGCCAAAGATTTCTCATGTTCAAAATGTTTGTTTTGAATAGAAACAGGGCTGCCGTCTTCAAAGCCGCTGCCCCTTATTTTCTCTGTTTGTCTTTGTTTCATTGTCTAATCTTTTGTTGTTTCTCAATTGCTTGTATTTTGTTCCGGCTGATGTCAATTGTCGTGTTGATGTCGTGTTGATGTATTGTAATATTACTTCATTGTAATATTACTTCATTTTAATATTTTGTTCCGGCTGATGTCAATTGTCGTGTTGATGTATTGTAATATTACTTCATTGTCTAATCTTTTGTTGTTTCTCAATTGCTTGTGTGTGTAGTTGACTATTTTGGTTGCTTATTGTTTCCCGGAAACTCAAGTTTTTTGGAAGCGGTATTCTCCGATTTAGTAATTCCGACTGTTGGCGATTTCACCATCATCAAACTAGGTAGAACTGTCAGAGGAATTCAGCGTTTAATGAGGCACATACAGAACCGTTCCATTGTTACAACTAGCAG